ACAATACAAAAAAAGTAAAAGCTCTAACAAGCTGCACCAAATATGCCTCAATTGTATTCCGACACAGTATATTATTGCATATTGGTAAAAATATTAATGATGTTATAATTAAATTTATTTTAATTAATACTAATATTTTGTATGTTATGGTAAATTACTAAGTATATAAATGTATAGAAATTTTTTAAAGTAAGTATTAAATACTAATACAATTCCTACAAAATACACTATAGGAAAAAAAAAAAAACAAAAAGACAGCTATAATACTATATGACAATCCCAAACACAGCCTGAATATTAATAATAATAGTAACTAAAAAAAATAAAAACACCAAAACTATTCTTTTAAAATCTTAGATTATATAATAAATGACAATTTTCTCTTATCCTTTCAATCAACTGCACCCGTATACATGTACTAAATTTGGAAATTTTAAACCCAGTATTTTTGGGTTCTTATCGAAACTCAAAAGTGGGCTCTTTGTTTTAATATGGGCTTGCTGCGTTTATCTTCATTATGGGTTCTTGGATTTATGGGCCTCATCGTTATGAGCTTAGTTGTAATCCAACTAGTTACAGGATACGCCGATACGAGACTTGTATGGGCCTTTTTTTTTTGGTCACTGTACATAGGCTTCCTGATTCAGGATGCGTTTGAAATTATGATTAGAAATTATTTTTATAATTGTATAGTATTTATATATATTTGATAATTTTTTTAGATAATTTTTTTAAAAATTATAAAAAGTTATAGTAGATTTATAATAATTTTAAATATAAAAAAATTAATTTTAGAGTTTTTCTTATGGTGGTTTTTATGAATAATACTTAATATTTAATATAATTACAAATTTATCTATTAAAACCTAATGTCGTATAATTCAATTATATCATAATTTATAATATTTTAATAATTATAACAAATTAAAAAACCTAAATTATTAAGAAGTAGTAAATATTTTTTATTTTAATAATTATATATCTTACAATATTTTTTAAATGTTAATTAATAAT